GGCCCCACCTTCAACCTAGTCTGTAAGGTCCTCGGGAGCAAAGAACCTGCCGGCACATAGTAGGCCCTCAGTAAATGGTTGTCCATTGGTTAGCTCTCTAAGACGGCAGCATCGCATCTATTTTTGGTCACATACCGTCAGCAGCAAGCTTTATGTCTGGGATGGCCGGTAGCCTCAGGAAGCCTGGAGAAGAAATGAGTCCTCTGGCTACTTTGTGAGCACTGGGTTATCCCCTTTTCTGTTTCTCAATGGGTAGATGGAATCTGGATGAAAGCCTACTAAGAGAAGTTCAGTGTGGCTTCTTCTCAGGCCTGTCCTAATGATACACCCTGCCAGCAGCAATTGAAATTACACTCGCTGTGAGTCACGCCGTGAGTCACATGGGTTGTCACGGCAACCTATTAACTACATAACCAAAGCACCTTCCATTAGCTTTGCCAAGAATGGTTCCTGAGTTTTCCTGGACTGTGAAAATAGTGTGGGTGAGCCCTAAGTTTGGTGCTGTGTTAAGAGTCTACAATCAAAAGGAATGGCCTCAAGGACAAGAAAAGAAAACGAGAAAATAAGGTTATTTTAGTTCTTGGACCTCCTGAGTAAGTGGCAACAATCGTGACAAATTGTTGGGTTGGTTTTGTGATATCAACAAATGCCTAAGGAGAGGAGGTTGAGGCCTCAAAACTAATTTTCTCTAAGTCAAATTCAAAACCAAGTCTCTAGGGGTGAAAAGTGAATACATTAACCTATTCCACTTTAAATGACTGCAATAAACACTTTTTCTTTTTACAGATACAAAGGATTATTTCTCAAGGAAATATTCTGATTTGTACTAAAATATTTTAAATATTGAGTACTAAACTCTTTTTACAAATAATATAGTGCTTTAATTTTATATGTTTGATTTTAGCCTACTGCAAACAAACATTTGAAAATGCACTAAATTGACGTTAGTGGCTATTCATGTTAAAATTAAAATATTTCAGAAGACTCCAAAGCACATTTTACTTTGTTATTTACTGGGGAAAACTGCCATTAAATCGTATTAAACTGATACATTTTTCTGGCTGCTTTACTGAGTGGCCTGCAATTTTCATACGTGTGGAAAGTAAGTGCCTGTTCTTGAGTGTAGAAGAAAGCAAGCAGACCAGACTTACACAGGAAGAATAAAGAATAGAAACATGGATGAGAACAGGAGGAAGTGACAATGATCTGTTGCTTCTGGAAACTATCTAGCAGTCTACCTGGTACCCTTCAGGTCTACACTGTGGCCCTTGGCTGATATATACGTTAAGGTTATGACTTCATGATGCTAAACTTCCTACTAGCTGGAAAGGGCTAAGAGGATCTGTTGCATTTGTTACTTTTTCACCTCCTAATCCATCATACTTTAACATTTTAGTGTATGCAGAACAATCCAAGTAGAATGAGATTAAAAAGTCAGGGGCAAATGACGAGTTGTCCTTGGCAAAGAATAAAAACCAAAACAGCCGTTGATGCCATGAAAAAGATACTTATCCGACATGGTACCATTTCAGCAGGAAAGACACCAGAACAAACTTGTGAAACACCAAAGTCAAAGCAATCTTTAAAGTGTCCAACCAAATACAGGTGCTATATAATCACCACAAAGATTAAATTGAAATTCTACACCACAGTGTAAAATTTATCTCGTAGGTCCCTATCCCACAAGTAAAAACTTCCTTTTCTGCTCACATACCAAAACCAACAGCAACGTTTCCTATCACCAATTGAAGAATATCACAAATGAAAGCATTCTCTGCCAGGTTGGTCACGACGACTTTGTACTAGAAGCCTCAAAGCTTTGCCTTCCCCCACCGGCCAAGTAAAGTTAATGACAAACACCACCAGTGCCATTCTCAGGAACTCTGGAGAATCTGAGTTCTCCAAAGACCACGCTTGTGAATTCCTCTGAAGATACTAATCAGATTTCCTTTCCCGGGAATTTCTGGCTCAGCTCACCCAAAGCATTTTTTATTTGTTTGTTTATTTATTTATTTATTTTTTAAGAAGCATATAATACCTCTGCTTTCCAGATAATGAGGTGGCCTAAAATACTATCAGGTGTCACATCTCTTCAGGTTCATTTTGTGGTTCTTGCACCTCTGATTGGTGTACCTGTGAGCTGACATTCTGGTCTGATAATATATTCTACAACTGTACATGTTAATTTGTAAGTTGAACCATCTCTCTGTGAGGGCAGTTAGGAAACCTGGATTGAAATTGCTAATGCGGGGTGACTTTGGCTGTCGATGATTATGTAGTCAAGCCTTGACCAAGGTTTCCAGAACTCTGGCTAAAAATGGAAGTCTTGTGACAGTACAAAAATGAATTCACACACTTCACTGATAGTGAAACTTTTTGAAGAACAGATGTCAAGATGCTTTAAGAGGAGCTGGAATTTAACCTCTTAAGAAAACTTATGGGCAAGGTAGGACAGTTTGGTTTTCACGAAAAATCCGACAGATGCTAAAGAAAAAGTCATTTGGGTGACTGTTATGGGAGAAAGAACTGATTGATTTTCTTTCTCCTCACAAGCGGTAGGCCCTGTAGAGATGCTAAGATCAGAAATATGAGGGGCTGTCTGCTGAGTTGGGTGACAAAACCAATCTCCACATTTAAGTGGCATTGAAGACTTGCACTAACACGCAACTTGGACAATTCAATTTCTTCTTGGCATGTGCAAAGTTTTGTGTCAAATCTCTGTTTCAGTTGCTGTTCTTCCCAACTTGTCATTGGTCTGCTTTATCATGGGCCCTCTCCCCTAAATCATGAAAGTAAACATCAACCAAAAAAACCTAGATGATTTCTGATCTCTTTTTGTCAATTTAATATTTGAATTACATAAAATGAGCTTTCTTTTAAGTCTGTCGACACTTATTTGATGCTTGATGTCTAAGAATTTTCCTGCTGATTTCCAGAGTTAGAAAGGCAATCAAAGTCCACCCACTCTGGCTATTTTTCAAGCAGGTATATCTGGTGGGGTTAGTTAAGCCTTGGCTGTAAGGCCAACCTGGCTATATTGCCTCTTCCTGGAACACCAGCTTTTACTTCACTAGCTACCACTCCCGTGCTGCCATCCAAATCCTTCCATGAATTTAAACCTGACCACGAGTTATTGTTTCTGTAATAGGCCAATGAAATTATTCTCAGGGATGACAATTCCTTGAATGTCCTCATGGATGGATGGTCTATATATTTACTAACGTCTCTGGTCTCTGTCTTATTGGGTGAGGGGCACTCTTTGTATCCAGTGGAGTTGAACTAGTGGTTTATCCACTTATCCAAGAGCTAAGTCATAATGCAAATAGTCAGTGGCTTTCTGTGTGTTGCCAGGTGGCCAGGAGTCCATACCCCAAACCACCATAAACAGTAGGCACAATCATCCGCTCCTGTTTGGGAGAGGCCCAGGACTGAGCTAGCAGAAAGACTGAATTACTTACCACCTCTAGAGTGGGTCCCTCCAGGCCAGGGACGAGCTCATGGGCAAGGCTGTGCAAGGAAGCGCTCTGTACCATGCCTGCCCTGCGGATATACAGAGGACTTCAGTCTCCTGCACTGTCAATCTCTCAGTCATCATGAGCTCAATTATGCACCGACAACAGCAAGAACAACAACAACAACGACGACAAAACAACCCCCAAAAAGCTAAGGGCCACAGACTACCGTGATGGAGGGACAGCCAACAGGAACTGTGTATTCCGAGATGGAGGTGCTGTCCTGATCATGTGTCCGTTACGGGCCTGACCTTTACTTCTTTCCTCAAACAAACATTCCATTGAAGCCCATGGGAGAGCCAGGTGGAGAGACTGCAGGACTGGGCCCTAAAAGGCCACCATCGAATTTGGTGGGGTGGGTTTGTTTTTTTTTTTTAGTGGTTTTTTTTTTGTTTGTTTGTTTTGTTTTGTTTTTTTTTTGCTTTTTTGTTTGCTACAAATACAGATAGACAGACAGACAAGCCCAAGAGCAGATTTCAAGAATCAACTGAGGCACAAGATAAACTACTTTGATGTTACACAGATTGTTTTTCTTCCCCAAATGTTTCACATGAAACCAAAACTTTTAAAAGCATAATTAGGAAAAATTTGGGGACACATCTTTGTCGGCCCTAAATTGTGCCGTAAATATCTCCACTGCTTGCCTTAGAAGGATGCCCAAACACATCTCATGGGTAGCACATATCTATGGTCTAAAACAGTTATCGAATTCTAATGACACTACTAATTCAAAGTCTGAATATGCTGGTCAAGTACAGTGAAAGTTGACTGCCTGCATCAATGACGGATTAGTCTCATCCTGAGGTTCAAAGCACAGTCAAACATTATTGCTCAGATTGCAAAATCACAACACTTTACGTTGACGTGAGTTTGTAAACTTATGGAGTAGTTCGAATGAAGGCAACTGATGAAAGCAGTTGAACCTGAGAAGTGGGAATGAATACAGAGTGTCAATCCAGCGCACATTTCCACATCAAACTTCCGATGCCATTTACCAGGGCCCTCGTGGGCCACAGTCATGGTCGAGCAACAGCACCTAGATTCCCAGTCAGTATCTCTGCCCCACAGACACAAGTACAAAACGGCCTAGATCGTGAACTGGTGGTGAGGAAAAGGAGACCAAAGTTTAAAAGAAATCCAGGTGATGTTTCCTAGAAACATACCAGCTCTTCTAAGAAGGATCCAGAATAGGGGTGATCGGTAAGTAATTAATTGATCCTCCTGACTAGATTTGATGATTTTTCTAAAGACTAATGACTTGAATCACTAGAATTCAGCAGACTATGGCTAGACTCTCTTTAACACACACTCAGTACAAACAGGTGGAGATGCACCACTTCCGACCACTACAGGTAGAGAAGTATGACCTCTGTTGACCATGGATCACAGCTGAAACATTAGTTTATACTTGAAGGGTCACAGCAGCCAGACATATGCGAATTCCAACTCTTCAGAAAACTTTGGATTAAAAAAAAATGCATTACTTACATGTATGTGTCTTCTTCGTTACTGAGATACCTAGAAGAGAAGAAAGAATGACAAAGGTAAGAAAGTGTCCCGTGGGTGCTTTTTTGGAAAGCGTGTCATTCACAGTGTACTCAGGAGAGCATTTGCTTGGACGGCAATGCAGAGGCCAGGTTAGTCTCAGTCGTACCTGGTGGCGTCACCGGACCTACCCCAGAACAACAGAACCACGAGTGACAGGGATGGCAAACACCGGCTACCGGTTTAGAACATTCTGTGGTAAAAAGCAGTGAGGACAGTGATTAAACAAGGTGAGAGAAGACTCTCCGTTTTCATTTTAAATAGGGAGATGATCATATATAGAGGCAGAGTGGGGAAGATTTAAGATGCAAGAGAGCGATGCCAACCTACTCAGACAAGAGTGAGCTGAGCTGTGGCCATTGATTCTGGGTTTACTTTTTAATGAAAATGACTCTTCTTGCTCACAGAAGGCATGATTTTTTTTACGGTGAAGGGAAAAACATCCACAAAATGTACCTATCTGTCCGTACTCATTAAAGTCAGAAGGGGTATGGCTGCTACTTCTCTGTGAACAGTACTAAAACTTAACACAAACGGTATGAAAACACAAGGGATTCATGAGTCAGCAACCTCACTGCGTCCAAGATGATTTATGGAGAGCAGGTGACACATGAATGCCGATAAGCAAGACTCTGCACATAAGACCGCAGAAAGCTAACACGAATGCACGTTCCAGTGCAAACTATGCTATCTCTGTTTCGGAAGGAGCCCATCTTGAACTCTATGCTCTGTCCTTCTTGGGGGATATTCCTGAGACTAAATAGGCTCAAAGTAATACAACTCTTGAAAACATTTAGCCTGTGACTAAGCACTGTGGTAAACCTTGAAATTTTTTTCTTTCAAGTTATTAAGAGAACTATTTAACCCTCCTCTGGAAAGTAAAAGTTGTCGAAAAATTTGGCACCCACATCAGACCCATTACTTAGCTATGGAACAAATCATACAGGGGAGAAATCTGAAAATCCACGGTAGACATTAAAAAAAAAAAGTTAGTTCCAAAGTTGTGTGCCAAGACCAAAATCACACACTTGCTCCCCTCCACAACTTTCCAAAGGGCTTATTTAGGGAAGCTGAAATTACATAGCCCAACTCATATTCCCCCGCTCCCCTTTTTATTGAGGAAAACTAAACTATTGTTTTTCATCATGTTTGAGTTGGCTTCTCAAAGTGAAGTTAGAACCCTCAGCAAAGAGCCTTGAAGGCTCTCTCACACAAGAACTACAAAAAACTTTCTAGAATTTTTTTTTTGAAAGAAGCTTTATCATGGGAAGGGAGCTATCCCCAACAGCAAGTGTGAGTGAAGTTTAAAATCTGAATACAATTTGCAACTCCAGCTCATGACACCAGCACCAATAAATTGATACATTAGTGCTCCTTCAGCATTATGAGGGCTATATGTGTACTTTCCTTAGGAAATAATGCTTTCTGTAAAATCACTTTGAAGAGAAAGTGCTTATGCTGTCACTCCTGATTATTCAGAACCTCCACACAATTGGATTTAACACAGCCCAAAACAGACCTATCTATATTCGCTGAGTGTGGAACTATTTTCTCCTGACATCCAAAGCCCTGACAAAAATACCACTGCTTTGACTTTTCTACTTCAATTTATTATACAGCGTGAGGCAGTGTTCTCATCAAATATTTTCATGATGATTACATTGATAATAGATTCTGAAAATCTTTCCAGGAAAGCTGCCTGATCTCAGAGAGCTAAAACTACTATGTGTGCCCAGGAGCAACCATGAGCCCCGCATCAGAGCCAGCTCATTCCCCTAGTTTCGGTTAGCAGCCACTTAGCGATGGATATAAAGAACTGGGGGATATGCCCACCTAAAAGTGGCTAGATTTAGCAGATAAAATGCAGGATGCCAGTTAAATGTGAAGTTCAGATACGACTCTGCTGTGTATCCAAAATTCAAATTTAACCGAGCATCCTGTATTTTATCTGGCAACCCTACTCCATACAAATAAAATGTAAACTATATCTGTTCTATACAGTGAAGAATATAAAACAAATTAATAGCACACTTTTCCGGAGAAAGCCTTAAAAAACACACCCCTCCCCTGAAAGCAGTATTTTTTATAAAAAGTGCATTGTTTTAACTATGGAGACAGGACTATGCATAATATTTAATTATTGTTTTTACTTCATAGCCATTAGGAAGACAAAATTCTATTACCCTCCAAAAGCAAACAAATGAAAACGATATGAACACACAAAAGACAAATTTAATGGAACGATCGGAAAGTTTATGTGGAATTGCCTTCCTCCTCCTCTCCTAAAAAATAACATTTTTGATCAAACTAAGGTCTTGAATTTGTGTCGCTCCTTTCTCTATAGAAGCTCTAGTACTTCACAGTAACTGACTCCATAGAAGCCTTAAAAAAAAAAAAGGCAAAAAACCCCCCAAAAACAAAAAACAAAGCAACAACAAAAAAAGGAGCACCTGGGTGGCTGAGTCAGTTAAGCATCTGACTCGATTCATGATTTTGGCTCAGATCACGATCTCAGGGTGCTGAGATTGAACCTCATGGAGCCTGCTTAAGATTCTCTATCTCCTTCTCCCTCTGTCCCTTCCTACCCAGCCCCTGGTCTGCCTCTCCACCCCCACTCCCCCCCACCCCCCACCCCCGCAGAGAAAAAGAAAGAAAGTAAGCAAAAACCATCCTCAGTTCACAGATGGGTCAGTTGAGGCTCAGGAAAGTTTAATTAGCACAATAAAAAGCTTTCTGTGGAAAGTTAATATCCTCTTGGAATCACATCCATGGCTCATGTTTAAAAACCCTGGTATAGACAGTGCCTCTGAAAGGAGTAAATATTCAAAAAAAGATTGATTCCCAGGACCATATCACTCAGCAGTCAGTAAATAATTTAAACCTATGGAACCCTGTCCCTAGTCTCATCCCAACCAGGGAGCCTCACCAGGGCGTGGGGGAATGAGGTCCTCCAAAAGAGAGGCCTGCGGTACCCTCATTTGTGACCAACAGCCATTTCTTCACCCTTCATCGGGGGTGGGGTGAGTCTCCCCCTTTAGTCTTTCTTCTCCTTCCCTCAGAGGTTGTAAGCGTCCTGTCTTTCTTGCCAGAAAGCGCCTCCTTCACGAGACCACAGCAGTCACACACTGCCCATTCTCGTCCTTAGCACATCCAAAGCTAATGTTAACAGCAGCGGTAGGAGAAGCAGCTTCTGAATAATGAATTGTTGGAAAACTGGTTTTCTAAAGATAAATTATCATGAGTATTTAGCAGGGGCAAATAGCTCTCATTCTACCCAGCAGAAAAGAATACACTTTTTAAAGTTAGCTCAGGATCGCTGGGTCTGGGGTCAGGCCTACCTGGGCTTGCATTCGTGGCCCGTACACTTTCCTGCCTCTTGGCTGACAGGCCTTGGGCAACTGACTTAACTTCTCTGGGCCTGGAGTTTGTATTTGTGTCTTGAGTTTATAATTGTGTATCATCACGATAATACTAAAAATTCTGCTATGAAAATTAAAATGAAATTAAAGAGCTTTCCAAACTGGGAAGTGTGATAGAAACGTTAAAAGGGTGGGCAACACGCTCGGTCTTATTTTAGCAAGGCTGAATTAGAATATTCTACTGAAAGTTATGTCATAGCTACTCCTGATGTCCCTGGGTTTCACTCTGACATAGGGCCTAAGGACTCTGGTTTTCAGACCAAGTGCTCTGACTTGAAAATTTCTAGTTGTTGGAGGAGAGCATGAGACAGACAACCAAGTTCCTAAAAGTAAGCGTGTGCTGTTCTAGACCCTGAACTCCACTGGAGTCTTTACTCTCTGAAATCCAGGGAAGACACTTGTTCATTGGCAAGTGTGCTAACTAGACTGCTGTTTAGCACAGGCGAGGGACTTTGATCACCACCACCAAAGGGTGTCAAACTGAGTCCAGCTGTTGTGAAGGTTTTGATTCACTGCCAAGTGACTGGGAAGAACACCAAGATCCTTCCACTGAGATTTGCAAACAGGCCACCGAGCAGAGTAATGCTCTCTGCAGAGCCTGTGACGGCAGGGAGCTGTGGGAGAGCGCTGGGGGTGGGGGTGGGGGTGGGGGGGCGCAGGGCCCTCAGCAACCTGAGCCAAGAGGGAACTCACTGGTTGGTTTGGGCAAATAACTGAAGTTCTCTTGGCCTTAGTTTTCTCATCTGTAGAATGAGATGGCTGAACTGCATGATTTCTTAATTTCCCTTTAGCTCATTGATCAAGGGCTCCTTGCCCTGCTTTCTAGCTATCAGACCAAACCTCCTCTTTTTAAGCAACAGGCTGCCAGATCTATTTCTCACTGTACAAAATCTAATGTAGCTCACAATCAAAGGTAACCCCCTGAAACTTTTTTCTTTTTGCCTTTAAAAACCAAAGAAGAAAGAAGGCAGTACCCACAAAAGGTTATATAAGTAAAAGCTACACTTCTTTTGGGTGATATTTTAAAATTATCTGGGCTAGAGAAAAATGGTACCTTTTGATAAAGTTGCAAGACTCCTTATATTTCACCCAGATCATATATATAGAGAGAGAGAAAGAGAGAGAGAGGAGAAAAGAGAAGAGAAACATTTCCAAGTGATACTTTAATTTCTAATTTAATAACAGAACATCAGTTTTAAATTGTCAATTAACACCCTTGAAATTAAGAGGAAAAATCTCCACAAATACTGTACTCAAAGTAGGGCTTCTAATACAGCAAGACTGCCTGACTCTATTTAGCCGACCATGCTTCAAAGTAAAGCAAAGGAAATGTCATGAAAATACCACAAATTTATCACTGTCACGGTTATCAGTAGTTTGAGAGTTAGAGCTATCACAGAGCAGAGCACTTTAGGAATGTAATCTGATATTTCCAATCAGTGCCAAATCTGGGACCAATTAACTTCCTTGATGGACTTCTTATTGTCTCTTGGTTTCTAGGCAATTGTCTGGGTACCAAGTTTATTTTAAATTTTTTTGGGTGGGGGGGTAAGA